TCCCACACACTGCTTCTCGCCATTGAAGGGCATTTTGGGTCACTTAAGTGTGGGTAAAAAGGTAGCACCTGCACAGACAAACAGACCCTGCATCAATGTTCTAGTTTGCTTTCTCTCCTTGCCAACATTTGATGTCCCACTGATGGCATTTCTTGCAAATGCTACCTTCTCCAGGAAGCCTTGCTTTTAGCCAAAGTGAACAGCACTCCTCTTGGGATGTCTGCAGCACATCTCCTGCATTTCCAGGTGAGTACTTAGCTCCTTGTATATTAGTCCCTTGTTATTTTCTTCCCATGGCTACTTCTGAATCTCCTTAATAAAGCAGAGATTGTGTCTTGTCCACGACCAGTGCCAAGTATATGACAAGTATTCATTCAGTGTCAGCTAAATCAGAATCCCTGAATCTCATTTGGTAAGCTTCAACCAGAACATTTGCAAGCTGATATCACGACACGTTAACCAGCCTGGTACTGCCAAAGCCCAAGCCCCAGAGCAGAGAATTTACTGCTTAAGCCTATCTTATTAGATTTAAATGTCAAAATTCCCAGTTCCCTGTCATGCTCTTATTTGAATATCTTAAAGTTTGTTTCCACTTTAAGTTGTCTTTTTTTCCCCCAGTTATTCCCCTGTAATATAACAACTGTGCTATGCATGCTCTGCTCTTAATTTTTCTCTACTACAGTTGCCTCAAATGAGCTCTGGCTGCTTTTCCAAGTGAAAGTGAATAAGAGCTTCCAGCCATGAGAATTTATGAACTAGCTTAATAGTTTTAACTGTCCATTTCATTTTTCTACTTTAGCTGGATAGCACACTTGGTTTCTTAATTGTATTTAACAAGGCAGAAAAGTGCAAAGATTAAAATAATTGGGAGTCAGGAGTCCAGGGTTTGTGACCTGAGTTCATCATTAATGTGCCGTGTGACTTTATGCACATTTTTCTGAGAGGCTGGGCCAGTTATAAGGTTTCCCTCAGCTAGGAATATAAGATGCTCCAAACCCAGAGTTCCATGAGGCATCACTAGAAGTTCTGAGAAATTAAATGTGCTTATGCCAGGCATGCTTAATAATGTGTAACTATACTTTTAACTATACTTTCTTCTAGCAATTCACTGGAGGTAGAGTTCCTGACACAGGGGCTGCAGTGGAAAATTTTAAAAGCTTCAAAATGTTTAGAAATTCTTGTTTAGTGGGTATACGCCTCCATATTACAACTGGGCCTTAGTGTATCCAAGCAGAAGCCTGTATTTGAAGCCAAAATGTCCATTATTACTCTATTAAAAAATTGTCTGTTTCCTCATACAGGCTTACTAAGAATACCTAATTCATAGGGTTGGTGTGAGATTTCAGGTACTCAATACATGCAGAGTGTTTGGAACAGTCACTGACACAGTAAACAGTATACAAATGTTTTCTATTATTTGCTTTTTCTTGTTAATATCATTGCCTCAGGACTTAAACACTCTGGAGGGAAGAACAGTTTTAGGTCAGGATAACACTATGTTCTTCAACAGACGAACAAGGCTGGTAGTTAACATGGAACAGAACTCTTGGCACTTGTTTGACAGACAAAAGCCAAGAGTGAATGGCCCATCACTGTGTGAATGTTCTTCCGCGAGTTCCTTCATACCTGCTCTTACCTTTCTCGGTCTTGAGTTTCCAAGTAAGTCACCTGGGGACAAAGCTACTTGATTCAAAAGGCACTGAGGATATTTATGCTGCTTTAAAAACTATTTTGGATTCTCCCTTAGACTGATGATCATGAAACCAGGCTGTTTCTTTAAGAAAGGTAATACTCCTTATGCAAACTTAGATCTACCTAACTTTTGACACTGCAACTCACAAGTAAATCAAACAACTTTTCAGAAACATCACATCTCATCATACCTGGAGAATTTAATCACTGGTCAAAGGTAAAGTCAACAGAAAAGACTGAAGATGACTCCAAGCAAAGCCTCCAACACGATAGCAGGTCACTATTCAAAGAAAATTAAGTACTGTCATATTCACATTTTTTATTGTATTATTCCATCACTTTGTGATAATAAATACAATATTATGTCATTTCTTCTGAAACCAATCACTGGAATGCAGCAAGCATTCAAATATTTATTGTTGAATAAATGAATGGTAGTAAGACTACTGACATTCAAGAGGTGTGAATGGGTACAAGGACTTGAAGGGGCTAGTGCTGTATTTCACTATAGATAGAGAGGAGATTGGTTTTTAATTTGCTTGTGATTCCTCAGCTTGTGTCCAGCTTTACTTCCTTATTTCCTTTCTGCAGCAACTCTATCTGCAAATAGTTCTGCACTGGTTCAGGACTGCAAAGATACACTGATGATAATACATGTCACTGAAGTCGTTAAGAACATTGCCTCTGGAGCTAGGTGGACTGGGTTCTCAATCCTGGCTCCTCTTGATTATTTACTGACTAGAAACAGACAACTTACCATTTGTAAAATGGGGACAATAATAGTATCTACCTTATAGAAGTGTTGTGAAGATTAACTGAAATAGTATCTGTCAAGTTCTTAAGCTCCTAGTAAGTGCCTGACGGATGTCAACTATTATTTTATTCTTACAAAAGAAGTTACAAGATCCGAAAATGTAATGTCATAAAAAACAAAGAAAGGTTGAGAATATGTTCCAGATGAAAAAAAAGAAAAAAAAAAAAAAAAAAAACCACTTGATAACTGAGTGCAATAGGTGATCCTAGAGTGGATCCAGTACTGAAGCAAAAATGCTGTGAAGGACAGTATCAGTCAATCAATAACACTGTTAACAATATTTGAATCTATTGTCTATTGTCCAATGTTAAATATGCTGAAGTTGAAATGTACTGTGCTTTTCTATTTAGGAATAAAGGGCCATGACATAATACAACTTTTTCTCAAACGATTCAAATGAAAGAGAAAGAGAAAAAATAATAAAGCACATAGGGCAAAATGTTAATAGGTGCATCTGAGTAAAAGGTACACAACACGGTATTCCTTGTATTATTCTCGCAACTTTATCTGTTAAGTGTGAAAGTATTTCCAAATGAAAGGTTAAAAGAGAAGATGATAGGCTGAACTGAAACTTCAAGATTCAAATTCAGAATAGTCCAACCTCTTGCAGTTTTGAAATTTTGATTGTGCCCACCGCTGTGATAACTTAAATACCACTCTATTACAAGAACTCTTCTAGACAGTCAAACTTGTCCTGATGTCCTTCTTGAAGAGTGCCTAAAGAATAAAACAGGAAATAGGCCAGAGCCCTCCAGAAGAGGCAAAACAGATAATCCTTTTTAAGAGTTCATCCCTAGGTGGGTTCCCTTTTCCTAAGTCTCTGGGCCATGGTTTACAACCCTCTGTGATCTTAACTCTGCCCATCTCATTCTGCAGTGCTCTCCCACTAACCCCTCATGATCTTCTATGGGTTCCTCAGACATGCCAAACTTCCTATTTCAGGGCACTCACACCTGCTATTCTCTCCCCCTGAAATGTTCCTCTCCCTGATCTCCTTGTGGTTGGCTCCCTGTTGTCATTCAGATTTGAAATTTAATGTCACCAACTTCGAAGTAACCTTCCCTGATAGCTACACTCACTGCATCTAAATGAGCCAGCTAGAGCTTAGAACACTGCCTGGGCTAGAGCAGGAGCTCAATGAATATAGTTGCATGAACTAATTACGCCACACTCCTATTCATAAGACACCTTGAGTTTTCCTTCTTTTCTGCCTCACTCACATTACTCATATTCCCATTATGCAGTCACTTACAGTACTACACTTGTGTGCATATCTGTCTCCCACTAGATTTTAAGCTGCTGGTGGAAGCTGTGACTCTCCTCTCCAATTCCCAGTGCCTACTTCAATGCATTTGCAAGGCACCAAAAATTCAAACTAGCAAAGACCCACAGTTCCAGGAGCTTAAAGAAACTCACGTGTAGCAAATAATAACAATTACAGCTAACAGTCACTGAGTGCTTATTACTATCTCAATAATAAGCCATCAATAACTGCTCTATGATAAGTTCTTTATATATTTTATCTCCTTGAATCCTCATTATAACCTTGTTAGCTAAGGTATCATTATTATCCCAATTTTATCATAAGATCCTGAGGCCCAGAGAGGTTGCATTACTTGCCCAGTGATTCACAGCAGCGTAGAGGCACAACTCAAATCCAGGAAGCAGATCCCTGAAACCCATGCTCTCTACCACTCCAGGATGGCTGGAGAAAATTTGGTGTGCTGCTCATTCTTTCCACTCCCACTGCCAAACCGACCTACCCATCACCATGTGGACCCTTGCACACGTGGTAGCAAGCTGATCTTATCCTGGTATGGCTGCTCAAGTGTCATTCTGTGAAGGGCATCACTGAAGGAGTTCGTCACCCAAAACAATTCACCACCACCCCGCTCCAGTGACAGAAAATCCTCTAGGAGGGAGCCATTCTTTATGCACCACAAAACCCCTAGTTAAACCCCACATGTTAGCAAAAAGGTTAACTGCTTACAGTCATAAACATTTTGGAGTGAAATATTCAGATTACCCAGCAGGGCCTTGAGGAATGGAACCCATCCAGTTAAGGTTCGCTCATGTAAAAAAGAAACTTCAAGAAACATCTAGTGGGTACCATCCTTTAAGACCAGATCAAGGTCAGATGCAAGGACAAGCCTTCGCATACGTGTAGTAAAGGGAAGGGAGTCAGAGGACTAAGTCTGGGCTCTGAAGAAAAAAGTTGCAGATGATGTGAAAAATTTCCCTCTTCTGCAAAATGCTGCTTTAGAATCAGTCTCAAATAGCAGTGCTAAAGTTATTCATCCACAGCAAAGCAAAAACCATAGAGCAGAGGGATAGGGGCCTACACCATTCATCTAGACAATACTGGTCTTCATCAAGTTAGAACCAACAAAGAGCTAGATAAAAGTCAACAAGCCAGTCACTGTCTACAAAGCAGATGTTCACGTTACACATGGCATTACAGCATCAGGGAGAAGGATTCCTAGGCACTTTTCATATTTGAAAGCACTCCTCCCACACTTGCTGGTCTGTTTTCTGTTAATACCTGTGCTTCCCCTTCTGGCGCCCTCAACCTCTCACAAAATGGCATTGAAGCTGCATCCACACATGACTGGGTATCTTTGGTCCTGGGCCTCTTCAAATCAGGCAATTTCCACTGGCTGTCAGGGTGATGCATGAAATCCCTAGAGAAGACAGGAAAAGGACCACAGAAGGGAGCCTCCTCAAGTGGGAACCACTGAGATAAACTCATTATCCGTTGGCAGGTAAGAAGAGCAAAGTCCCTGATTGGGCTGGTGACCATGGGTGCTGAGAAGCCCACTGGGGACAAGGACAACTTGTTCAGTTTCTTCACAGTTAAGGTAGCAGGACAACCATCTAAGATTTTCCCAAACTGCAGTCATTTGAGTACCACTCTTTATGACTATTTCTACATCTCCCTCCTTACCTAGGCTATAATTTACTAACCGTGTCTCTTTATCTTAGCTAGATTTTTGCATTTAAATGTATTTATTTTAAAAGGAAATTCTGTCATTGTGAAACTGCTTACTTAATGGAACAGATTTTCTTAATAGTAACGAAAACAAGTAACCATGTTCATCCATGTGCCACCTTAAATCATTGCTATTACCCCCACTGGTGCCACCTACAGTAGCAGCTTTGGGAAGCACAAGCAACCCCTGAGGGTTCAGCGTTCCAGCCCAGGCCCGATCGGCATTTCTCCGCCTCTTCCCCTTAACCTAAGGTCCCGGCAAGGGGACGCAGCAGCAGTCTGCACGACCTCGCCCACGTCCTCTGGCCGCCCCTCCCCTCCAGCAGCACCACGTTTCCTGTCAAAACAAACCCTTGGGGGAGGGGACGGCGGAGGCCGAGCTGAGTGCCCGGGAAACCACGGCAACAAACTCCAAACACACGCGGCCGGGCCCGCCCGGCCTCTACCCTGGCTCAGTTCCCCACTCCAGCCCGGCCGAGGGGTGCGGGGGAAGGGGGTGCCCTGGGCCCCTGATGGCGGGATGTCGCTGGTACCTGTCCAGCAGGATTTAAACAGCGGCGAAGCGGCCTCCGGGGCCCGAATTCTGTGTCCACCCCGACACGCGGGGCGGCCACTCGGTGCCCCGCTCCCCGCTGCCACGCGGGACGGCAGTTCGAGGTCAAACAAGGGGACGTGGAGTGGTGAGACAAGAATTAGGAGACCAGCTTGATGGCCCCTGCCCCGCCGTCCCAGCATGGAGTTCCGAGATAGGGCGGAGGAGCCTTCGGGCTGCAGCAGTGTCCCCTCCGTTGGCCCCGGCCGGTCACCTGCGAGCCGGCAACGCCTTCCCCGTGAAGGATACGCACCGGGTCCAGCACGTAGACAAGAGGAGAACGGCGACGGAGTGATCCCGCGTGAGGGCTCTCTGGGCGTCCCCTCACCGAGCACAGCACTATCACCTCGAAAACTCACCAGTCCAACAACCCCCCCCAACCCCAGCGTCCCCCCAGCGCAACGCGGTATTTAAAGGGCCCTGAGGGACTCTAGGGAGGCAGCCACGGCGCGGCCATCACAAAACCGGATAGCGGGGGGACGACGGCACGACGGGGCAAGGGGATCCAGGGCCCTTCAGGCTCCGATAGCCGAGCGCTCACAGACTGAACCTATTAGACAAACAGTCTTCGTCATGTTTAAACCAGAGAAGCCGAGGACAGCTCGGATGGGAGGGTGTTTCGGATGCGAGACGGCACGGTCTCCCCGCGCGGCAAGTGGTGCGGTCCGGGCTGCCGGGGGCGGGGAGAGAAGTGTTTACGGAACTGAGGCCGCCGCACCGACGGGAGCGCCGGGCGTTGGGGGCGGGGCTTGATGGGGCACTGGGGGCGGGGCCGAGCAGGGGTGCTGGGGTGGGGGGGCCGAGCAGGGGCTCTGGGGGCGGGGCGAAGCCGCCGGCCGAATTTCCAGCGGAGCGCGGAACGGATCCCCTGGGCTTCCGGGCGCACCCGCGTGGACTGCACCGCGAGCTCCCAGCCGCGCGTGGAACATTGAGTGCCCGTACACCCCTGTCTAGACGGGGCGATCCAAACTGGGTGCCCACCACAACACTGTCCACACTTACAGAGACAACCCAACTAACAACGCTGCTGGTGAGCTTTCCCACGGACGTCAGCGACTAACCGCGTCATCTCCAGTTGCGTCTACACCTCCACATAAACACGGATTCAGATTTGCACCTGCACGGGACAGTTAGCTCCTGGGAGTCACACCCATCCAGGCCCTCTGAAGACTTGGTGTGCGTGCAAAAGATAAAGCGTCTTACTTCCTCTGGGGATCTTGGCAGCACCTATCTCCCGGAGAAATTTCGACCTTGGTTAATGTAAATAACTAGTCCCAGGAGGGCTCTGTGCCGTCTGGCCTGCTGCTCCGCTCCTGCTGTGGGCGTGCTTGAGGGTGTAGAGAAACAAGCTTCCCCCAACTGCTCACATCAAAACCATGCCCTCTGCCAGGTGTAAATCGGTGCTGTATTACTTGGGAAATAGTTTCATGCAGGAACTACTTACATGAAGTTTGTATAGACTAAAGTATTTCTGTTTAGTGCCGAAATTATGTCTGGATTGTGGAGGCAAATTGGCCACCACCATTCAAAAACAACAGCAGGCCGGGCGCGGTGGCTCAAGCCTGTAATCCCAGCACTTTGGGAGGCCGAGGCGGGCGGATCACGAGGTCAGGAGATCGAGACCATCCTGGCTAATATGGTGAAACCCCGTCTCTACTAAAAATACAAAAAATTAGCTGGGCGTGGTGGCGTGCGCCTGTAGTCTCAGCTACTTGGGAGGCTGAGGCGGGAGAATGGCGTGAACCCGGGAGGCGGAGCTTGCAGTGAGCTGAGATCCGGCCACTGCACTCCAGCCTGGGAGCACAGCGAGACTCCGTCTCAAAAAAAAAAAAAAAAAAAAAAAAAAAAAAAAAAAAAAAAAAAAAAAAAAAAAAAAAAACAGCAGCAGCAGCAGCAACAACAAACAACAGGCAACATTTTAAAGCAGGGTAGAAAGTCAGTTGTTTAGTGGTTACAACACAGACTACTCTATGGTTCCAATCCTGGCTCTGACATTCACTATGCATGAGATCGTGGTCTCTGGGGATAACAATGATAGCTATTTCATTGGGTTATTGTGAGGATAAAGTGAAATAAAGCTTGTGAAGTGCTTAGCTGGGTACACAATAAGCACTCAATAAGTATTAACTATTTGGCAAACCACTGTGGCCAAACTTAGCTGGTGATCTGTATCAATTTGTATCTGTGCCTCCTTTTGCCACTTTCCTCTCTTCTCCTAAAATATACAACCTAATAATACAGGTTCAGAGATTAAATAGAAGGTGCTGTCCCCACCGGAGTTCTTCCCTACAAACATGCCCTTCTTTATGTCATTTGTTGGATAAATAATCAGGATGACAGAAGCCTCCAATTTCAATTCTTGCCAAATGACAGCCACCACACAACTGCCATCACCACCTTAAAAACTCCACAATAGAAAGATGAACACCCAAATCCCCCAAACTTCTGGTAACTCTGTGACAATGACACATGGTGACATTACTTCCTTTGTTAGCTTTGTAAGGATTTAAGTACTGTTTTGTGCTATGACACAAGTTGGAGCAGGTGACCATGAGTCAGGGTAGTTGTCTCTAATACCTGAGTGACCAGCTGCCTGACCCTAGGCATGACACCTCTTTTAAAGTTCAGATACATAGCTCTCAAAGCCACCAGGAAGCAGCTTTTGTCAAAGCAAGTTTCAACATGTGCTGGTGTACAAGCCTTGATGTGGAAGTGGTGGGGGTAACATCAGAGACCCAAGCTGAGATAAGAAATGATGCTGGAAATACTATCTTCTGTTACTTTAATGTTAAATAACTTGCTATCTGAAAACCCTTTGGTGAATTACCTGACCAACTGCCCTTGGCCTGACTTGTGTATAAAAGCACTTTGGGCCAGGTACGGTGGCTCAGGCCTGTAATCCAAGCACTTTGGGAGGCCAAGGCGGGTGGATCACAAGGTCAGGAGATGAACCATTCTGGCTAACATGGTGAAACCCCGTCTCTACTAAAAATACAAAAAATTAGCTGGGCGTGGTGGCATATGCCTATAATCCCAGCTACTGTGGAGGCTGAGGCAGGAGAATTGCTTGAACCTGGGAGGTAGAGGTTGCAGTGAGCCAAGATCACGCCACTGCACTCCAGCCTGGGCGACAGTGCAAAACTCCATTTCAAAACAAAAACAACACTTTGAAAAAATGGAGTGCTGTAAAATATAAAGCAGTTCCCTCAAAAATGAGCCTTGTATCACATTGTTGCTCAGAGGGCTCAGACAGTCATAACATCAAATCTTCCCTGCTCAGGTTATGTTCATGACTTTCTGAGAAAAAACAAACAGACAAACAAACAAACAAAAAAAACCCCAAAGTCTGAAAAGCCAACCTCTTTAGTAAGTAAAACAATTAGCATTTTATTTGAAGAAGACATATTATTACACGTAGTTTTTCTAACTTACCTTTTTTGAACCACTTGGAGAACTGACAGTAATAACAGTTTGTTTTCTCCCTATAAATTACACGGTAGACCAAATGTGGTCTATCACTCTTGGCAAAAGACTAAGGGCAGATAAAATTTTTGTTCGATGAAGAAATAGAAATACTCATTTTCTTTTTACACTTCTGAAATCTGAGTTTTAAATTATAATAAATCATGGACAAAAATCCAAAAATGTACTTACAGTTGGATTTGCAACCTCTCAGCCTTATAACTTTTCTAGTGGAGTTGCATCTTGTACTTTAATGTAATGCAAATTTAGCTATACGGGACTCATCTAGGACAGAATATGAGGAACACAAGAGAATAACTGAAATACTTCCAGTGATCTTGTCCCCTATTTCTCTCCATGGGAGTTTGAGGCTTCTCTTCCTGTGTTGATCAGAGTTTCTGAGCTTCTCATTATGTTCCAAACTTCTTTCCCATGGTTGGCTTCATGGGCGTGCAGTCTGGGCAGTCACACAAGGTCCCACCCTTGGAAGAGCCCTGTGCTTGGTTTAACACTTTGCTGCTGTTATGTTGAGATTCTTAATATTGTGCTTTTTGAAAGAGGGGCCTTGCATTTTCATTTTGCACTGGACCTGGCAAATTATGGAACTGGTCCTGATCTCCCCACACAGAATATGAGTCTAGTGGTTAAAGACACTTATTTTCCTGCCCCTAAGTGCCGATCAATTATTTCAACTAGTGCTCAGTCGAAGAAACTTATGT